CAGGTGCTCTCTGGACACAATGAAATAATCAGAAATTCTAATAGGAAATTTACAAAAGGTTTTGAACACGGGTGGATTAAAATATATCTGGGGGGGGGGGGGGGGGTGGGTGGAATTTGTTTAGAATTTAAAGTCCTTTGAATTAAAGCATAAGAAAAATGTTAATCTAGTGGAAATCTTTGTAAAAACACGTACAACCTTGTTTTTTAAACTACAAAGGTTAAAATGATGATCCTCATACAAATGAATGTGCAATTAAGATTTTGATTTAACTCATTAATGAGGAAACTGGTATGATGTTACACCTAGCTTGAGAGAGAATCCAAACAGCAGACACAATTAAAGATCTGGAAAGCTGAAATCAATCTGCAAACAGGAGGCAAAGTTCACCTATTCTGCAGTGGCTAGGAAAGTCAACTAAACCTCTACGGGACAGAATTTACATGTCAAGAGACAAGAATTTTGTTGTAGAATAGTTTCTCCTTTCTCACAGGACATATGTTCCAAGACCACTCTGCAGATGCCTGAAAACACAGATGGTACCAAACCCTAAACATAACATGTTTTTTTTCCTACACAAATATATTTGGGATAAAGTTTAATTTATAGTCACAGTAAGAGATCAATAACAGTAAAATGGATTGTAGTTGATCATGTATAACTAAAACTACAAAAAGCAAAACTGTGTCAGGCATGGTGGCACATGCCTGTAATTCCAGTGGCTTGGGAGGCTGAGGCACGAGGATCTCGAGTTCAAAGCCAGCCTCAGCAACAGTGATTTGCTAAGCAACTCAGTGAGACCCTGTCTCTAAATAAAATACAAAATAGTGCTGGGGATTTGTCTCAGTGCTAGAGTGCTCCTCCTGAATTGAATCCCCCGTACCCCCTCCCACCCTGTAAAACAAAACAAAACTGTGGATTGGGGGATGAACTACGGTATTGCTGTCAGTCTACAACTTATATAATTGTAAGGCAACTCCCTAGAATCACAATTAGATAACACAAGATGGTGTGATACAGACAATGATGCATGGTTTTCCATGGACAATTTTTTCTCTACATGGATCACTGACAATCTTATTTACTCACTCCTTAAACCTAGTACCTGGAGAGGTCCCATAAATACTTGCTAAATGGAAGAATGTCAGCATTAAGCTAGGCCCTTCACACGTGTCATCCTGTTTAATCTTCCCAACAACCTTTTAAGATAAACATTCTTCTCACTCTACTGATGAGAAACTAACTTGCAAGACATTATGCAGCTACTGTGTCTTAGAGGTTGGGGTGAAAGACAATGGAGGGTTTGACTCAGGCATATGATTAGAAAACATCTCTCTCTCTCTTCTTTCTCGTTCTCTGTCTTGTCTTCTTTCCATTTAGTATATGTCCTTTTTATTTACTATAACTGGACCATCTGCCTCTAAATCAAGGGCTGTTTATGTTATGTTGAAATAACATGTTTCCCTAATGAGCATGATACTGAAAATCCTTGCTTTAAGAAAAATAAATGAACAGCAGCACTTGGGAGAATCTCAGCACAAACAAGAGACTCTCGATTGCTCTTGTTTGCAGCCTTGCAGATTAGCACAAGGTATTTACCAGCCCAGACTTTTGTTTCTCCTTAGGTGCTCTTTCCCAATTATCAGGATAACAGCTAGATGAATCCAACACTGCTTCTGTGTGTTGTGTTGTTTTCACAGAGTCAGGGCAGCACTTAGAAGCACAGCGGCAGTTTGTACTCACCGTATGCTTGGGGTAACCAGGGACTCCCTCCATAAAACCATGTTGAGGCAAGTGCTATAATCATCTCCTTTTTACAGTTGAAGAAAGCACGAGTGACACAGCAGCCTTTACAAAGTCACACAGTGTGTTGCAGCTCTGGGCTTGGATCTGACCTTTGGAACCACTGCCCTGTCCTCTCCCTGAGTCACTCTAGATCTGTACAGACACTTGAGGTGGTCTTGAGGTTTGCTCTATCAGTACATCTTGATTTTTTTTCTAGTACTGGGTATTGAACCCAGGGGTGCTTAACCACCAAGCCACATCCCCAGTCCTTTTTATATTTTGAGACAAGGTCTCACCAAGTTGCTAAGGACCTTGATAAATTGCTGAGGCTGGCTTTGACCTGGAGATGCTCCTACCTCGGCCTCCCAAGTCACTGAGATTAACAGGTGTGTGCCACCACACCCAGCACAAATTGATCTTTCACAGATACTTTGCCCTGGTTATTATCATAGCCTCCAAGGGCACTGGGGTTTCCACTGCTTCTAGCATCATGGGGCTGGTAATCACCGATTCAAGTCCTAGAAGCCATCTTCTGACCACCTGGCACTTAGAATCATTCTTACTTTAAATTCATTCCAAGAGAGGCAGGGGCTAGAGAACAGGGGAAGAGAGTGGGATTCTGAGGACTTCAACAGATGAAGGTCAAACAGATGTGGACCAAATGTTAATCTGATTTCATTCTCTCTGTTCCCCAAGTCCCCAAATAATTCGCTTTCTTTGCTTGCCAGAAAATAGGCTTCTCTCAGAATGAAGTGAGGGTGTGTTTTTCAACAGCTCCAAATGACACTTGATATGAATGACAGCACAGGACTTCAGGCAGGAGGTCTAAATCCATGATTGGCTCTATTATTCCATTTAACCTTCATGACCACTCTCTGAGACAGACAGTATTATGCTCTTTATTTGGGAGATGAAGAAGTGAGGTTGAACAACTGGCCCAGGTTAGAGTTTGCTCAAGAGCCCAAGGAAGCTGCAATTTCTCCAAAGCAGAGGTGTTTCCTGATACCAAGTGTGCCACCAATAGCAGAACGACAACTGTTTGACCACACATCTCATGGCCTCGCCCCTTTCTCATGTCACATGGCACAGAGCCCAGGGAAGTGGGCCTTTTACCCCATAAGCCCAGAAGCATGAGAACTTTAATCCTGAGGGGCGTATGGCTCACCTTCCTCCATCTGTTCTGAAGCCTATCTTTCCTCGTAATTCTCATCCCTAATGAGGGACAGCTCTGCTTTCAAATAAGATCATGAAAAGGCTTTTTGCCATTACTATCTCACAACCATTAAGGGACATTAAGCAGTCACTGTAATCAGTCAAACAGTTAGTGACTGGCTGCTCATTTTGTGGGGTGGAACAACCACCCCTCTGTGGGCTTTTCCTATACACTTATGGGGACAACTAAAAAATGAAATCTAGACACCTGCAGTCTAAGCTAAGCATCCTCACTGCCTTCAGGACTTCTGGAATCTCATCCCAAAAGTTCATTAGCTCTAGTTTAGGGGAGACAAAAAGTGCAATGAAGGACCACTTTAATACTTGAGAATTTAACTCGCTTGTGAACTCAGCTTAAGCTACACCTGACGGTGTTCTTTGTATATTCAGTCATTGTCAACTTGGTAAGCAGAAATCTAAAATGATCTAGTTCAGCTTTTTAAAAAATATTTAGTGTTAGAACCCTCTTTACAAATTGAGTTTTCTGTATGAATGGAATATGTAAAACAGATGTAAAGGGAACGGGTTTGAGTGATACACCTACCTCAGCCCAAAAAGCACTGCCCATCTCCTTTGGCCATCAAGGACTCCATGGAACACACTTAAAAACCACCAACTAATTCCTGCTCTAGGGTAAGAAGTACACTACAAAAAGAAATACTTTCTGCTAAAGTGTCCCTTTCAAAACAACAGAAGTGCTGAGCACAGTGGTGCATGCCTGTAGTACGCCAGCAGCTCTGGGGATGCTGAGACAGGAGAATCGTGAGTTCAAAGCCAGCCTCAGCAACAGCGAAGAGCTAAGCAATTCATTGAGACCCTGTCTCTAAATAAGATACAAAATAGAGTTGGGGATGTGGCTCAGTAGTTAAGTGCCCCTGAGTTCAATCCCTGGTACAAAAAAAAAAAAAAAATAGGAGTAAATGAGCAAGGAGAAGGGTTAGGATTTCTCAAGGTACATGATGGTGGGTTTGAAAAAAGGTTTGGAATCTGGAGTGCTCAGATATTCCACAGCAAGTCACTTTCCCATGGGGACATCAATTTTCTCTCAAAAGAGAGGGAGGATCTGTACTAGACTTAGATTTCTCAACATTTCTTCCACACAAAGCCCTTAGTGTGGTGTTCCTCAGCCTTATCTTTCATTGTAGTGTTTGTGAATGAAGGGATGGAGGTAGAGCCACAGGGGCAGGTGAGGCCTGGGAAAAAACCCCAACTCCAATCCACTGCCATGGTGGGAGGTGTACTTTCTCCATCTCAGCCCCCAACTGACAGACTGGTCTGAAGGGTCCTTGCAGTTCACTGTACTGTCCTGTTTTATGCTTCAAGTGCCTTTTAACCCCCTATATAATACTCCAATAGTCTTGATCTAAGCCAAGCTTTACCTTGTCCCCTTAAAGGTATTTATCAGAGGGACACTGAATTAGTATTATTTTTCACTCAGAATCTTGGAACATCTCAGGGTGTGGACACAGAGGACGGTCCTCAGGGAATTGGATGGCCAGATCATAGGAAAAGCAACTTTCCACCATAGACTCGTCTACATCATGGAATACACAAGAATAGCTCACCAGTAAGAAAAGTCAATAAACTTTAGCTAAAATAGCAATAGATATAAAAAAATAAAGATTTTCCTAACTGGAAAACTTTCCTGCTTGGATCTTTATAGGAATCCTATAAGCAAGTCGCTTTGGAGGACTCCCTTTTTTCTCTAGGAATAGTTTGCTTTTCTTTTCTTGAGGATCCCCCAATTCCTTACCTTGAATGCAGTTTTATATTAGACACTCAAAATTCACAGTTTCCCCCTCAAAACCATTTATGTTTGTTAAATGTCATGGTTTGTGTGAATCTGGAGTCTATCACCGTTTTAGAGTAACCCCATGCCAGAACATTTTAGTAGGAAGATACTGTTTCCTGGTAACGCTATGGGTGTGTGTGTGTGTGTGTGTGTGTGTGTGTGTGTGTGTGTGTGAGAGAGAGAGAAATATCTCGAATACTGCATACTTTACCAGTTATGTCATGCTGTTTGAATGACTCACTGTAGATCTGATACTGATTCGGACAATGTTTCTTCAACCACTTGCAGACATCCTGCTGGGTCCATAGAGCCACTGGTTTTGACAGCTTCACAGTAGATGACTATAAATAGAGCAAAAAAAAAGAAGGTCTGTTAATGCCGGCCCCATGCCTAGGAAAGCACTATTGTCGAAAGTCCTAGAGTGGGGATTCCCTGACGATGATTATCTGGCTATTATCTTCCTTGTAACCTCTACAGACTTTCTCTGTGTTGTTTATAAAAAAAAAAAAAAAAAAAAAACAAAGAAAAGGTCCAGGAAGAGGAGGCCATGAAAATTATACTTATTCTTGAGTTATCATCTCCACTGGGAGAAAACCTTAGGAAGTAGAGTTTTCTACTAAAAACTCTAACAAGATAATGGGGTTACTAAGCAAGTAATTAAATTTTAGGGGTAAAATAGCAGCCCCCAAGGACCTTTCTCTCTACTCAAAAATGCATTCATCTCTTGTCTCTGACATCCCTAGGGCCTAATGCAACACTTGCCCCTCCAAATGCGAATAATTATTTTAGGATTGAATGGTATAGGATTTAGATACTTGCATACTAAAAAAGTGCAAGATGGCCTGCAGGATCTGGACTTAGGGTGACCCTATAAAGCCTAGGAACATTAATTATGCCACAGCGGGGAAGCCAACAGTCAATTCTGCCAGCATGTGGAGAATGGTAATAAGATAATGGAGTAGTTAGGTTTTATATAGAAGCCAGCTAGTCAAGGCCTTTTATTGCTCTCTGGTTCTTTCAGGGAAGTGTTTCTAAGGGAAAAATATCAAAACACACAGAGGTGTAAAGGTCCCAGCCTTTGAGAAATGGTGGATTTCAAATACATTTATTAATAAGCATTGATTCTGTCAGGGGCTGGTCTCCCCCATGGATCCCAGGAATTTGGTTTAGGTGAGATGAAAGCATCAGCATCAATATTTTTTATCATTCTGGGAAAAGTGTTTGCCAAAAAAGTAGGTCTACAATATTGATAGTTCTTTAAAGGGTCTTGAGTGGTACAAAGATCCGCCCTTAAATATCACTGCCCTTCTCACCAGGCATCATTTTCTTCTACTTCTCTTTCCATGTTTCAGATTAAGGCAAGGAAAAAGCCTTAATTTGGAAGGAGTGTGATTTAGCATCCTTCAAACACTTCCTAACATTTTTTTTTTTCCCAACAAAGAGCAGGTTTGCTTCAGTTTCAGAACCTGTAACAAAAAGCAGCAAATCTAGCAACATCTACTTACTCTTCTTTTTTCTTTGATTATGTTTGAGGCAAACTTCACTTTATGGCAAATAAAATATGGGATAAAAAATATAATTCATTTTATTCAGTAACGTAAAGTTTACTTTTAAAACAAATTTGAGCTAAAAAAAAAAAAAAAAACTCATTGCCCCAATTTTAGGAAAAAAAAATTAAGGAAAAGTGGTACAGATGGTGAGAAGAAAATAGTAAACATAGTGGGAGGAATATGTAGGGATTCTCATTTGGAAAGCATAGGGCTCAGGTATTATTTTTTTATCAATGTATTTTCAATTGAATGGTTCTTTGAGCCATCACAAAATAATTCCAAAATATACTTAACCAAATTTTTTTGTACTATGATATTTGTTTCCCCTTTCACTCTTATTAAGTGTGACAGATTCTATTTTTCAAATATGACCATACATATGCAGGAGGGTGAGGCTATATATATCATTCTATGACTTCATATGTAAATCAGACATAAATGTGTGTATATATACATATATACACACATATGTGTGCACATGTGTATATATGTGCACACATATGTATATGTTCTCATTCAATGTGACTGAGCATACTTATTTGCACTGGTATTGGATTGATGTTTCCGCCAGTTGAATTTCAGCAGGGTATGTGACCATCATGACCAAGGTGGTACAGTGGAATTGATGTTATGTGATGTCTGCTCGTAGCACTCACCCTTAGAACATAGCCACCATGGTATGAGGAAGCACAAGCCACATGAAGAGACCATGCACAAGAATGTTTGCCAATCCTCCAGCTAAGGGTTCAGCTGACAGCCACCACTAACCACTTGACAAATGAGTAAACAAGCTTCATATGATTCTAGCCTCAGCCTCAGAATCTTCTCATTGAGGAACCCAGACACCATTATGCAAATACAAGACTTCTTTGCTGTATCAAGTGAATTGCAGACTCATATAATTGGTGAGTATCAAAAATAATTGTTGCACACTACCAAGTTTTAGGCTAATTTGTTTTGCAACACTAGTAACTAGCGAGGAGAGCAGCTGCTATAACTTTGTGTTCCTTAGAGTGCATTGCATTTAATAGATGTTCTGTGAGGGCACAATGAAAAAGTGAATGAGTAAAAATAAACAATTTTCACTTTATCTGTGTTCCCAGGTGCATGTGACTATCCCGTCTGCAGTGAGTTTCAGGTCCAGCCCTCCCTGCTCTTCCCCACAGTGTGTTGTGCTTGCATGGCTCCTAATCAACATGGCTTCCTCTGCCTACCACCCTTCTTCAGTCCCTGGTCTCGGTCACCATTTTCCTTCTAAGCTCTGTGTGAAATCATATTGTTTGTTTCCTAATTTTGATGAGAAAGGAGAACCTTGGGCATGGGGGTACAAATAAGTACTTGTTTTTTTTTGTTGCTATTGATGTTGATATTCAGTCTTTTTTGGCCATCATTACTTTCTTTCCTTTGCAAGATTAGGAAACCAGAATTTAAGATCTTTCAGGTGGAAATGCAGTTACCACCATGTTTCACAAGTCAGCATCTCTGAATCTGGCTCTCTCCTGCTCTAAAAACTTTCCTTCAGATTAACTGAATGAGTTTAGAGCTGACACATCATTACCCTGAAACTCTTGCAAGTTTCTTGCAAGTACAGCTAATCACATTTTTTGAAGACTCCTATAAACCAGTCAGAGAAGGCTGTAAATTAGGAAGGAAGAGGCAGGGGGATGGAGTTGCTTATACATCAATATATTAAACTTCCTTCTTCCTGAAAGGTCATTCTTTAACTGGCTCATTTCCCACGCAACAGACGACTCCGCACCAAGACTAACCCATTCTGCTAGGCTTCAGCTAAAGATTTACCCAAAATTGCCAAGTCAACTCAGAACAATCCTGACCTCATATGCATTTGTTGTATATTCTCCTTTTGCCATAAATTCAGTAGTTCTGAGGCTAACAGTCAAGGAACTGGTTCACTTTTCCTTCAGATATATTCTCGCTAAGTAATAATTTAGAATCAGTTGCTTGGACAGGAGTAAATACAAAGCTTAAGACTTTACAAACCCAGAGGGAAATGTCTCCATATAAACTGGTATAACAAATGAAACAGAGAATAAAGATTCCTACTATTAACAAGGGTTGTTTATCTCCTCTTAACCAAAGGGCAATAAAAGTATCAACCCTATTTATCAGCTGATTCTTAGCTTTGGTTGAATTATAAAATTGTTAATAGTTTACCACACGTTAACTTGATAAGCCATTATGACAATGTTTCTGGGTTCTCAGAGATAGTCTTCATTTTTTTATTTTTTTTAATTTCTGTCTGAGCCTCTCTTCTTGTAGCACCTGGGTGAACCAGTCATACCTCCTTCCATTGTCACCGTCCCCTCCCCAACAGCAGTCAAGTTTGGGGAGTAAATGCCGTAATCTGATGCCTTTAAGGATCTCAACATTTATTTCTGTGTGCAAAGTGGAACAACAATGAAAGACACATGTTAAAGTACCCTCTGTGGCATTTAACAGACTGCCCCATGGAAGGTGGGGACAGAAGGCTGGAAGGTACCATATCCTTCTACTACTCTCTCATCCTCTTCCTCCCAATATTAACCCCTCCCTTTACATCCATCACTAGCTGATCATTTTCTCTGATTTGCTGCCAGGTCTTTTTTTTTTTTTTTTTTTTTAATTTCCTCACAGTAGGAACCTCAACCAAAATAAGAATAGTTCATAAAACAAAGAGATAAAGCATTTCATATTTACTAGGAACAGTAAGCTAATAAGAAAAAAACATCCCGCCCCAAGGCAAACATTAAGAAAACATTTACTCCAGTTGCTTTCTCCATGTTCACTTCTAGAACATCATTCCTAGATTTACAGCCCTGGAGACAATTTTGGTTTGTTCTGCTACCCTGAAAGAAGGTGGAGGCAGTTTATTATGGTAACCTATATGCATTATGACACCAAGCAGAATTCCAGGCATTTCCTTTCGGAATTGGTCCTCCTGGCCTTTCTATAGACAAAAGGGAAAATGCATTTCAGATGCCTTTAATTTCCATTTTACGAGACTTTATAAAAAATACACATTTCTAAGGAAAAGGTTGTTTGCAAATTGTTTTTGTTTTTTTTTAAATGATTCTTATTTTAATTTGCCTTCATACAATAACTTCAACTGTGTTTTATAATAATTTCTGATTTGTGTTTAACTGGAAAGAACTCTTAAGCATTTAAGTTTTCCAAGATAAATATGAAGCTTTTCTGCTAAATAATAAAAGAGTTAAATGTTTTAAAGAAATTTGGTATGGAAAGGACATATTACATTATGCATTTGAAGTTAAATTTTATTTTCTAATTTAATTATCCCTTATCTTTTTGCCATATAAATTCTCTTTTAATTTACTTGGTTTTGGTTTATAAGAGAACACTGCAATTTTAACTTCCTAATTGCTGAATAAGCTCTTAACTAGGCGAACTTACATGAGACTTCATCCATACATTGTGAAAAAGTAGAGAACATTCAGATGGATTCCATCCAATGGTAGAACAAGGGAGAGTTATGGCTAAGCACCAGAAAGTGGCAAACGTCTTTTCAGCATCTCATTAGATGCCACTGTTTCCAAACTCTAAGAACTCTCTTCCCTTACTATCTTTCAATGTTCTGTAGCTCCTTGTCCTCTCTTTTGCTGGCTACCATTATGCCATCCTATTCAAAATAGGAGAGAGAGAGAGAGAGAGAGAGAGAGAGAGAGAGAGAGAGAGAGAGAGAGAAACTGAGACTGTAGAAAGAGAAAGGAGGAGAGGGAATAAGAGGGGAAAGGGAAACATAGAATCAACCATTGATGTCTACTTTAGCAGTT